CATATTTAGAAAAACAACGATATTTAGGTTTTATTTAGTTTTTTATTTACAAAATCATTAAATATATTTAAAACTAAAAAAAAAATATTTTTCTAAATAATGCAAATGTTCATTAAAATCTTGATTATATGCAAGTATAAATGAATTTTTTCGATCTCCGATAGATTTTTTTAATAAATATATTTAATTATTTTTAATTTAATGTTTTTATTTTCTGGAAATTTAATAAATTCTCCGCATTCAATGTATGTTTTATGCATTTGAGTGGAAAAGGAAAGAAACGAAAAAAAGTCCAAACAATATAAAAATTAATGGAAAGAATTAGCGGGATTTTTTTAAATTATAACTGTTCATTTTGTTGTATGTTTTTTGGAATTAATCTCAGCTGTATTTGGTCTTGTCGATATTATATATGTCGGGATTTTGTTAATTAATTAGATGTATCTTCCACAAACATTCAATATGTGTGCACATAAATAACACATAACATAGCAATAAATATATAGAAATGCCTTGAATTGAGTCAAGTGGTACGCCGATCAATCATTTTCCTACAAATTGCCTTCATTTGTATATATCATTCTTTTCATACAAATGATTTCTTAATGAACTGAATGTTTCAGCAATACCCTCTAGAAAATTTGGGAAAGCATGTTTAGCTGATTGATGTCTCTCAACGGGAGTCAACTACGTGGAATTATACGCCACAATACGGTTAGCATCTACTCCAATAAATTCAGATATGTGGATATGTTTTGTTCATGACAAATATTCTCTGATGTTTACCAAATGTTACACATTTTTATCGGTGTGGTTGTGGTTCTTAGTTAAAATATCCGATTCATTCAATTAGCCGAAATGTTTGTATTGTTGCCGAAATAATTCCAGACTTTGTTGCGGATAACATAGCTGTTGATTGCTTTTTCTTTGTTGCAGCATATTAACGGTGACTCCTCTCTTTTTGGTAAATCTTAGATTGCATATATAAATAATTGGCGTTTTGTAACCGCTGAAGATTTTCGGCCGAGCTCCTACTCCAATGAAGGGACCTACAGTTTATACTTAGCAGCTTCTGATGGTTTTAAATGAGGACCCTTTATTCCATATCAGAAATACACTCAGAGGGGTTGGCGTTCCTTGCCTGCATTTAGAAATTTTAACTTACATTTTTATTTAAATTAATTTTCTATAATTTTTGGATGTTAGTCGGGCCAGGATTTGAAACCTGGCCTTCCGAATGGCAGTACTCAATGCTAACCACTCGGCTACCGCGGCCGTCAATCTTAGATTTAGTCGATAATTAATAAAAAAAAATTCTAATTTTTTTCCCCCGATATTACTATTTGAAAACGTATTGTTTTTTAATTATTTTTCAAAGCTAATTTGTATTGGAATTTGCGAATCGTTCACATTTTCGAATAGCTTCAATTGTTTTTTTTTTGCGCTATTGTGTCCAAATGAAATTTGATATTTTGTGTGAAAAATAAATGTCGAGTTTATTTATTAAATCCGCAGAGATATATGGACTTATTACTGCACAACTTTCAATATCGAGCCAATTAATTGAGAAGCAATCTAACCCAAACATAAAGAGAACTTAAACACACTTAACGGTGGAACAAATAATTGATAAAACTTTTCATGCTGTTTTGAAGCTCTTATAATCAGAAGGGCAATTAAAAATCTGAACACAACGTAGCTTTTCCAATTATCAATAGTTTTTGATTATGCCATCTAGATGCATTTGCACAACATGTGAAAGTTTTTCGCTGTTTTTCTGTCTTTACTCCTGGAGCTGTTTATTTAAATGATGACACGTAAGTTTTATTTGTCAAAAGTTTTCTGATTAGCCCGCTCATGGCTTTGCCTTTTTCTGGGTACTGGAAATGTGGTGTTGAGGCATTTGAAAATTGCCTCTTCCTTTTTTCTACCGCACATTCTTGGCTTAGCCGAATTGTAATTTTTTGCTAAGGAAGTTACACTCGTCCCCTTTATAACCTTTCTTAGTATCCCCGACTTTTCGCTATATTTAAAAAAATCACAATTTTCGAAGACATTTCATTAAAGAAAGCAATTCAGAGCTAGAAGACACACATTAACTGACAGAAATTATAACATTATAGCCGATTTCGTATTGTTAACAAAGAAAAATTTAACTATTTGTAATTCACATTTTAGAGCCTTTTGACTTTGTACATCTTTTAAGGCAGTCAATGTAAAAAATATTCTTCACATTAAACGGTGTTCGTTATTCAGCCTTCCCGAAAGTTATAAAAACTTTTAAATTTCCGTGTAGAATAAGGTAAAATTTTCATTATTATTTTGCAACATTAAAAAAGTTAACAATGATAACAAAGAGATTAAAAGGGAATATTTTATGATGTAGTTTATTCATTTATTAACATTCCCCCCAAATTTTCAAATTTTTTCATTGAATATTTTCTAAGAAAAAAAATTTCAATTACATATTGCAAGTAAACCAATTATTTTTTATAAAAATATTTATCATGTGGCTTTATACCAATACCTTAAATATTTTTCACTACTTACTTTTAACTATTTAAATTTATAGTCCCGAATTCATAGTCAGAAATTTCTACTAACATTAAAATTGCAACTCTCTATTGATAATTATTCCAAATATCTTGAAATAACAGCAGTGTATAAGAGGTATTTATATAGGATAGCAAGCTTTAAACATGTTGGACTGCCCAAGGAGATTGATAAGTTCTCACATTACTATAAACTATCACTCCATTGAATAGTAAAATATCGAATACGAATAGAAGGCATTCTAACATGGGGATTTGGGAAAGATATTTCGCAATTGGATCAACAGTGGAGTATAAGACATTTGAAGCACGAAACTTATCTTTGAAAACATCTGCAGCGGCAAAGCAATTTATAGTAGTTCCTATTGCTTTTTGCATTATATTATATGTAAATAATATATCGGTGCTTCTATCTTTAAAATTAACTGAAAGCTTTCTTTGCTTTGCCTAACCAACAGCATTGTGCTGTTATTAAGTGAGCCATTTTCATAAATGCTTGACTTCTAATCAAAGAAAGTATGTTTGGTTTTAAGGACGTCAAAATTCAGTCCTGTGCTTTTGAAACGAAGTATTGGATCTAAATAAGTTGAATATTTATTTGAGAACTAATGATTTTAAAAATATCGGTTTCATACAATGCTAACATGCGTACAGAACACACAATCCATAATATTTGCATCGATTTTGTCAAATAGCAATATTTCCATAACATAAACATGTAATTTGTATTCTTATGTTACTTTAACTACAAACACCTGTGAGAAAATACTCCTCTGGTTCGATTTGGATCATTAAAAAAACTGTAGTTCTCGTTGTGCGTCCAACTAACGAAACTGTACATAGCAATAACGAGAATACAGTGGTGACCACATTTCGTAATTACAGTTCTGCTATGCTTCTATAAAAAGTACATACTTACTACTCGTATGTAAAAACACTCATAGCAATTAATGCATAATGCAAAAAGACAAGTTTTTTCTGTTGTCGCTGTCACTATTGCTCCAATTGTAGTCGCTGGACTTCCTGTTTGCAATTTTCCGCCTGTTTCCAGTAAGTCATTCGCTTTCTTTATTATTACCACAAACTATTGCTCTGGCTCTCAAGTGATTAAACCCATAAAACTGTGAGTTGAATGGCTTAACGACTGAATACATATAAACAGTCATACATAGCGGATATGTAGTAATTTTTTAAACACATGATCTGGAGTAGCGATCGCTGAAGTTAAGTGGCAAACATATCTGCTCATATACATGTATGTAGAAATAAGTACCACCAGTTTTATGTTGATTTTGAGGGGATTGCCTGCCGTTAGAGGTGAAATATTTCAAGCCTCGGTCCGCACAAAATACTGGTTACTCTTGCCTGTGTTTATCGGGGAGGAAATTTTCTGTTTCTGGTTTAATATTAAAAGTTAGTTTTGATGTTTTAAACTCCCCGGGCGAGAATGAAATCAATGAAGGATTGCGGTTTATTAACCTAGAGAATAAATATAATAAGATAAGGAAATACTATAGTGGACTTATTGCACTTACAACCTTGCCACTTCTTCTGTCGGTCAAATATTTATTTCACAGCGGATCGCACTAGTTAAGGTTGCTCATTGTTTAACTTATTTTTTGCATTTTTTATATAATTCGATTAGAGCGTCTTCAAACCCTATTCTTTGGTTTGCGATTGTCATGGCAATTGTCATCTTAATTTATTTATTTGTCGAAAAACTCAGTAGAACGCATAAAGATTTAATAATAATTTACCCGAGTAACTGCACAGGAGCATCACATCTGGAGTAATGTCTTCCGTCTACCACAGCGTTGGCCTGTAGTATCTAAGGCTCAGATATGAAAGCCAAACACATTTCGGTCTCTACGAAGCCGTTGTTGTTGTCGCGCATTTTAAGTGCTCATAAAAGGCTTTGTTAGTAAAATTGTCAATATCTTTTGTAAAGGTGTGGATATGGCTATCAACAATTTGGTTCTGACTTGAGTTGTAGTTAGATATTATATATAATTGGCGCTGTGCAACTACTGAAGCAGTTTGATATTTCTCCAACAAATGGAGGGGATGTTGTGTTATTTGGGAGGAGCCTTTATTTCATGTCTGAAGTACGCAAAGCTAACCACTCGGTTACCGCGGCCGCCAGATGATTGGTGAACGATAATTCTCAACTACAGTTTTTCATGCCACATCAAATCCAACACCAAACTTGAACTTCTTCATAGTAGCCACTGTAATAGAAGTCAAAAAGACTAATTACCTCCCGTGACACTTTTAGTTAGAAAATAGTAGTGAAATTGATTATTAATAAATTATTTTCCGGATATTGTCTATTCAAAACATAAGAATGCCGGTGGTGTAACACCCTCCGACAATGAGTTCGGAAGATGTGAGGAAACTGGAAATTTTATTTAATTGTATTTATATATTTTTTATTATGTTTTATTTCAGATGGTTTTGTCATTTCGATGACGACAACTACGTAAATGTCCCGCGATTGGTCAAACTCTTGGATGAATATAGTCCTTCAGTTGATTGGTATTTAGGAAAGCCGAGCATTTTCTCGCCTCTTGAGATACATCTCGATAGTGTAAGTTTTAAAAGTATACTGAATATTGAATCCAACAGATTTTAATATCATTCTTATATAGTATCCAACCTCATCACATAAAAATAAAACACCTAGTGAGAAGATTTCCTTTTGGTTTGCAACTGGGGGCGCTGGGTTTTGTCTGAGTCGAGCTTTGACGTTGAAAATGCTGCCAATAGCTGGTGGTGGAAAGTTCATTAATATTGGACGAAAAATACGTTTTCCTGACGATGTCACAATGGGTTTTATAATTGGTAAGCTCTAATAATATACTTTTGTTTGTTTGGCAGAAAGGTACGTAAAATTTTTTTTAAGTTTTATCATTTAGCAAATGCAAAATTATGGTAAGAAATGTCATATGTAAGTGAAAAATGTTTGGCAAGAAAGCTGTATTGTTTGGGATTTTCAGAATAAATATTTCATTTGTAATGTGCGCGAATAATACAAAACAACGGGTGATCCAAGTAGAGATGGGGTTTTCAACGACAGATTGCATGTGAGGCATGTGGCATTTCAATATAGGAAGATTTATTCCTGAAAAATGTTAAGTTCATTACGAAAATTCAAGTTCTGTAAAGAATTTGTTTCGCCCACTTCGCTCAACTTATGGTCAACATAATCGGCCTACTGAGTGTACTATTCGCAACACCATCACCCATCATTGAGAGCCAGCGTTCATTATTGGATAATATTCTACTGAAGAGACCACGTCCAGCAGGCAGTGAAAAAAATGTAGGGCCCGTAGCTGAGAGTGTGCAGGAAGACCGTAGAGAGTCGATTCGACGCTCGATCTGCCATATGGAACTTCTTGGTCAATATTTTACGTCGAGATCTTAAATTGAAACCATACGATATACAGCTTGCGCAAGAACTGAAGCAGCTCAACCTTTCCAAGCGACAATAAGTATGCAAAGAACCAAATTGCCGCATTTGGAATCAAGAGCAATCTGAAGAAATTCAAAACAATAGTTTGATGTGGTTTGTGGGCCGGTGAAATAATCGGTCCATTTACTTCAAAACATGATGTCAGTGAGAACCCAACCGTCACTGGCGACTGTTATCGCATCAAAATAACCAGCTATTTCATGCCTGAAATTTAAGCTCGTGATCTCGGTGACATTTGGTTTCAACAAGACGGCGCCACTTTCCACACATAATTTCACGTTTTGGGCCGGTTGATTGGCCGTCAAGATCGTGTGACATCACACCGTTAGACTTTTTCCTGTGGGAATATGTAAAGTCTAAAGTCTATGCGGACAACTCCGCTTCGATTTTGATCATGTTCGGCTTCTGGTATTAATTTTAATATTGATATATTTTCTATAATTCCATAAAGCTCAATTACAACGCACGCTGGGTCCTAAAACTCGTGCTTTATATGATACCTTAATTTCACTATCTACAAATTAAACGAGCGGACGGATATCTCAATTTAGGGATATCAATTCTATTAATAATTCTAAGTATTTGTATATGTATATATGCGCCATCCAGACCTTCGGTATTTCAACATTGAGGAACTCTGATATTTTTCAGCCGATTTTGACAAATGAGCACGACTTATTTGGGATAAACTTTGCCATTTAGTTCGAATCAGTATTAGAAGACAGCGTTGATTAAATGACCACCTTTATTCGATACCCAAAATGCAACTCTTTTTCGCGCATTCTGCGTAACATTGGCCAGCATATATAGCGTTATAACGGCTTTTTCGGCTTGTATGTTACTTTTAGTTCGTCGATTGTCTTTGGCTTGCTGACATAATCTTTACTTTTTAAATAGCCCCACAGTTAAGTCTGGAGAACGAGGAGGCCAATCCAAATCACAATTTTTCATGAGCTCCATACGATAAGCACGCACTTTTTTCACAACTGAACGATTGCTTTCAATGTTAAATGCTACAATTTCAGCGCGTTCTTTCTGTGTGTATCACGGACAAAATGGGACTGAATGACCAAATCCGCTAAAAATCGACAGTTGTTCATTGTTGAAATACTGAAGGTCTGTATGGCGCACCCTGTATACGCGTATATACATATATTATATATGCACATAATCATTCTGACTATTTATTTAATGCTGTTACAAACCACGCAGCCGTGAATAAGCACATGTTTATCTTCTTTGAATTAAACTGGTAATTTTTTTATTCTTACAGAACATTTACTTAAAGTGCCGTTGCGTATTGTTGAAAATTTCCACTCGCACTTGGAACCCATGGAACATATACATCCGGACACATTTCAAGAACAAGTTTCCTTTAGCTATGCGCATATGAGAAACCAATGGAATGTCGTAAAAGTAGACGGTTTCGATTTGACCAAGGATCCAAAACGATTCTACTCGCTGCACTGTAAGCTTTTTCCTTACTTCAGTTTTTGTCCAACGAGATGATCGTCTTAATTGTGCGTGTTTGCGTTGTAAAATACATAAAAATCTAATTAATACTGTTATAATTTAAATGACACAAAGCACAAGTCTCCAGCAATTTAGGTACCATAAGTTTTGTAATTAAACTCAAAACTGTGATGTAATTTAAGATATAAACATGCGTAACAATAAATAAATGTTATATTAATAAATTATATATAAAAGGAATGTGGATAAGGATAGCAATACAGAAAGTTTGTTAATTTTGAATTATATATTTTTTATTTAAAACCATTTAATGTGGGCAATTTAGCATTGGGTAAAATAATAAAATTATTGGAGTCAATTTACAAAACAGTTTTTATGGAATGGCTCTTTAAAACTACATATATATATATAGTTTTAAATACATATACATATGTAAACATCAATCGAAGTATTGGAAAAAGATTTGTATAGTCATACTAATAAATATTATGGTGAAACCGAATTGGGGATTTAGAGATGAGTTCCACAACTCCGGGACTGACCTTAAAAGATAAAGCAGTTAATTTTCATTAACATCTGTATTTATATAACATCTCACTTAAGTTTATTTACAAAATACATTTTTAAATTCTAAGTAGTATATAGCTTAGTATTTTTTAACAAGAAGATCCAAGAAGCTTCCCTTTAATACATAAGTTTTAAAAAGCAACAACTTTCATTTGCAATAACGATGCATATACCATATCTTGCACAAACATCAAAGAACAATAATTAATGCAAATAATGAAAAAACAATGTAGAAAAAAGTATTAAGTGAATAAAGTTCAAATATCTAAAATAAATTGTGAACAAATGCATACAAAATATTTTTTTGAATGAAAATTTTAAATATTTAACCAAATAAATGGAAATTATAAACCTTTTATTTTCGAAGAAGTTCTGATCCTTTCAATGTTAGACTTTAACTCACTAAAGCTGCTTAACTCCTTTCGGTAAGCCCAGATATTCGATTGTCTATATCAACATCGTCAGTCGTCATCTCTGCTCAGTCGTCCCAGTTTCCCGGTATGTTGTTCGTTGATATTCAAGCGACGGTGAAGTGTCAAATGTATGTGCATGTTAGCTCTTCGGGTGAGACTGATCAGATAATCAGCCTGCGCCAAATCTTGGAAAAGACTGGTAAAAGAAGAATCGATACAGACATCTCCGAGCCGTTCTATAACGTGGGATTTCTTCAATTTAATGCCGGAGAAAATTATAAGAGCTGCAGAGCTGAATAGAGAAGCAAAAATAGTTTACAGGAGTGTACACCTATTGGCGTATGCGGATTAAGGACTGCTTAACACGCACAATGCAAATTCAATCAATTCTTATTATTAATTTCAGTATTTTCTCAAATTTCAAAAACATTTTTTAAATACGTGTAATTCCATTTTTGTGTTTAGACATTTCCAAAAGTGTTATTGTTTATTACAATATTATTTCCAATTGTTGCTAAATATTGTTGCGAAAATGCGAGGCGAATGTCAGATGAAAGAGAGAAGGCGATAACTAGTACATTCTAGCAACGATAAAACAAGAACCTTCCATAGCGAACAATTCGATGCTTCTACGCTTTCGTCTGCGAGCAGCCGACTGCTATATAAACGCGACACTCAGCTGCAAGTCAAGTTAGTTACAAAGTGAGCTCGTTGGCGTTAACATCAGTTAAGTCGTAAAGTGAACGCGTTGGGAATTACTTTTAATTAGAGTAAATTGTGAAAGTTGATGCAAGTGATTGTAGCTAGTAAAGGGTCTTGTAATTGAATTGTGAATCACCGAGTAAATAAAGGATATTAGATAGAATCTTTATAACGAAAGAAACTGCAAATTAAGTTGGCGAGTTTTATTTAACAATCCAGAGATCGTATCCGAAGGATTCAGGAAATCATCGAGGTTGATTTAGTAAAATCGTAACAATATGTATCTACCAAAGTTTGATTCTACACAATATTTTCTGTCGAAAGCAATGTTGTTCTTCGTTTTATTATCTCAAGTGAATAATTTGTTTCTTTTATTTCTTTACGTTTTTATTACATTGTGTTAGTTTTTTTTTTTTAATGATAAGCTTACCCTTCATTTGAGCTATGGCTTTTACTTTATAATATATATAAATAAATTGAATTTTCGGGTTGTTTATGTTAACAATAATTTTTCCACTCTTTATTTGGTATGTTGTTTCTTACTTTAACATTTTCTGAATTTGTGGTAAACTCTTTACTAATATTGGGTACTTGCTGTCCATTTCCAACGTGGTCTGGTCACGTACTGGAAATATTCAGTTATTTTTATACGTGTATGTGCATATAGTGTTACAAGTTTAAATTTGATTTAAAAACCGTTAATGAATCTTCAACTTTAAAAATGTTTATTTATTTATTTAACTTTTAGCGAAGGTTCTGAGCGTAGTAAGCGGTACAATAACATAAAACTTGGAAATTTTTACGACTAAAAAATTGTGTGAGCAAAATGCTTATAACGCACCTTCTCTATGGTTACTATAAATTCATATTATGTTTATGTATGATTCTATTCCTATCATTGATATTATATTATATTACCTAAATGTTTCTTATTTTGCTGCTTTTTATGTCTATGTTTAGGATTGTGGGGGAAGTCAAGCTTCTGGGTAAGTAGTTGCAGTCTCACTTCCTACTCTTGCGTCCAGTACGCCAACCCTGGAAACCCATGTGGTGCGCTGGGTCACGGCTAAAAGAGGGGAAGCCACTCCGACTTATTCGCATAAGTCTGTTCATCAAAGGTGAAGCTGCGAGCGGTCTTCGATCTTAAAGCAAATGGCTTCATAAATGTGTAAACAATTTAAACTTACTCGCTTAACAAGGTTGCTCGCTAGGCTAGACTAGGTAGAGAAAGGCCTGGCTGTACTTGGTGTTTCCAATTGGCATCAAACAGCGAAGAGAAGAAACGAATGGCGCAATGTTGTTAATTTGGCTATAATCGCGTAAGTAGTGTCTACGCCAGTAAAGTAAGTTTAAAGATATTCTTTCCCTTATTATTTTCTCATAAATTTCACAAATTCGAATACGAAAAAAATTACATTCGAAAATTAAAGATATGAAAAAATTTATGTATAGTAAAAGTTCAATTAATTTGAAATAGGAAACAAAAGGTAATAAAATATCTACATATTGTTTATCGTTGCATTACGACATATTATTTACATTTTTATATGTATGCACTCGTATTTATTTGAATAATATAGGGAGTATTTGTAATTAGTTGATAATATATTATTAAATTTTTTCGAATTTTTTTAAGTCGGTATTTTAAGTAACTTCACTTTTAGTCTCATCTCATTTTACAAACTCAAGGGATTACTGGTAAAATTTATTTTTTATGTAAAATATAAATTATATAATCTTAAATGCTGCAGTGTAATATACTATGTAAGTAACATGAGCACCGCGATTAGTGCAAAAAATTGGGTAAACATTCGAAGTGATTGTGTAAATAATACCCAAGCCCATAAATTTTATTCCATATATCCTTCAAAGTGAAATATGAGAAATTCAATGCATGAGACGTTGCTTTTGATAAGCGTGTAAGCACCAGCACAAAAAAAATACATCAAGCTACTTGGCTGTCCCCCATTATCTTGTTCTCAGCGAAGATACGCATGCGCCTCTGTGTACCGAAGAACGCCCGTCAACAAACACAAAGAAAGTTCGACGTTGAAAAGCTGCTTACGTACAGCTGAAAACGAAACTATTGCATTTCGTAAAGGTCACAAAAAAAGCTGGTACGTTGAGGACTGCCGTGTCGCAGTGGAGAGAAAACAGGCTGCCTACCTCGCAACCTTCCGATCGACCACCATACGTGCGGTTCGGGATAGATACGGAGAGATGAAGAGGGAAGCAATGCATATGCAGACAAAAAATGAAAGAGGCCGAGATGCGTGAGTATGAAGAGCTTGAGAAGCTGACCGACAAGGTTAATGCTCGAAAATCCTACGAAAGGATACGACGACCTACGGAGGTTTCAAGTTCGGAACAGACTCTTATAGGACACAAAGAGGTGACCTAGCCACCGATGGCCAGAGTAATTCTAATTCTAATTCTCCAACCTTCTGAATAGTAGTGAAAATGGAGAATCCGGAGATTGTGAACCCGAAACCCCAATCGATGACGATGGAAAAGACTTTCCATTACCTGACCATGAAGAAGTTCGTATAGCAATCGCCCGCTTAAAAAACAACAAAGCGGCGGGAGCTGACGGGCTACCGGCAGAGCTATTCAAACATGGCGAAGAAGAGCTGACAAGGTGCATGCACCAGCTACTTTGCAGAATATGGTCGGACGAAAGCATGCCAGACGATTGGAATTTAAGTTCTTTGCCCAATCCATAGAAAAGTGAACCCCTCAGTCTGCGCCAATTACCGTGGTATAAGCCTCTTTAGTATCGCCTATAAGGTCCTGTGGAGCGTATTGTGTGAAAGACTGAAGCACACCGTCAACAAACTGATTGAAATTTACAGAATCGCAGTCAGAATTGGAAGGGCCTTTCCGTGCCGTTCGGTATCAAACGAGGTTTTAGTGACTCCTTGTCGTGTAATTCGATGCTGGAGATAATAATAAGAGCTGCAGAGCTGAATAGAGAAAGTATAATATTCTATAAGAGTGTACAACTATTGCATTAGCGTACGCCGATGATATTGACATTATCGGCCTCAACAACCGCGCCGTTAGCTCTGCTTTCTCCATGCTTGATAAGGAAGCGGGGCAAATGGGTCTGGTAGTGAAGGAAGACAAGTCAAAATATCTCCTGTCATCAAACTAGCAGTTATCGCATTCTATGGTTTGGCTACAAGTCGCTCATAGTTCCCGTCCGGCTATAAGATGCGGAAGCATGGACGATGACAACATCTGATGAGTCGGCGGTAGAAGTTTTCGTTAGAAAGGTTTTGCGTAAAATTTATGGTCCTTTGCGCATTGGCAACGGCGAATATCGTCTGTACAAGTTATACGGCGACATTGATATAGTTCAGCGAATCTAGAAGCAGCGCCTACGCTGGCTAGGTCATGTGGTCCGGATGGATACGAATACTCTAGCTTTGAAAGTTTTTGATGCGGTACCCGCCGGTGGAAACAGAAAACGAATAACGCAATATTGTTAAATCGGTCATAATCGCGTAAGCGGTGTCTACGCCAGTAATGTAATTAATAAATATTTTTAGTATGACCAATAAGACATATTTTGCACTGCTCTAAGCCTATTTAGATATATAAGAGTTTATGTGGATAGTTTTAAAACTGATACAAGTCAAATACGTTTCCATTATTTCTTAGGTCTTTTTCCAAAAGATTTTACATATTAAGTTATTTTTGTATGATATTCACATGTAATTTCGTATATATTGGGGAGATATTGTGTTTTTGTTAAATAGTCCGCCGTTTTTTTTTTTTTTTTTTTTGTTCTCGTGCATTTTGTCAGTTTACTATTGATCTAACTAATGATACCGTAGAGTGCTTTTGTTAGAAGAAATATATTGTTTGTATTTAGTCGTTTTTGTTGTTTGTACTTTTGATGATGAAAATTTTTTGCGTGTCAGTGTTTTTATTATTGTTGGTTTTTTTCTGTGATTGAGGTAAAGGTAGGAAAATTAGCAATATTATTTAAATTTAGGTCTTATTTTATTCAGGTTTTCTTTGTTGTTTGTCAGAATAGCCTACACCAGGTCATTGCTGCTAAAGTTCACTATAAGACACTTCTAAAGTCGAAAAAACACACATTTAAAACAGACAATTATGTCCTTTGGCAAGATGTTAATTGTGACTTAAAATATTTAAAAAGTTTCAATATCTTTGGAAACTCGTTATGAGGTTTTCGATCCATCCACCATGAATCTGGTGTTAATTTTTCAAAATAAGAAATAAAATAATTTCTCCAATATGGCGGGGAAAATTTTAAAAAATTTTTCATATTACTTAGTACTCAACAGTCGATGATTTTTGGGGACGCAGATTTTGAAACAGATTTTCCAAAATAAAAAAGACGGATTCAATATGGTGGACGAATTACAATTTATCTGTTTCAAAATTCATCATCTGCGAACCCGAAAATCATTCATATGAAAATTATTTTAATGCTCATAAATATATACGTATATATTTTTAACGACGAACCCAGCGTTACCCACATCCCGTCCAACGGAACGAGGCACGAAAAAATAAATAGACCGATGAACGAAAGCCAGTGACAGTCCAGACTGTCCTGAACCTAAGATTGGTTGAGAAAGGTAGCGGTTACACATGCGGCTTCGATACAGAGACGACAATTTCTCCCTTCCTGGTTCCTATCTCCAACCCTGCTCTCTATTAGCCTTGCAGCATCGAAACAGAGACGACTACACCTCCTTTCCTAACTTCTACTGCCACCTCTGTTCTCGATTATCCTTGTAGCTTCGAGGCAGAGATGGCAATTCTTTCCTCCACTGATCTCTCCTAGCCTGTCGCTGTATTTTCGACATCCCCTATTTCACAGGTGGCATGACATGAGCTTCGCTTCTGTGTTCCGGACCTTCCGACATCTGGACAGTTAGGTTTTCAAGACACTTTGGTAGACTTGCAGCACACAAGGGAGTGAAGTGATTTTTGACCGTCGAACCGAAAAGATCGGACGGGATAATAGTGAACCGTCTAACCGAGTCATTAGTGATTATAAAGAAGAGTTAGGAACCGAGATGTCTGCCTTGTAAAGCACCAGATGATACCATTTTCTCACGTGATGCACAACATTTAAAAATTACTTGTTGTTTGACCTTGTCAATGCTTTGCAGGGTAGATTATATTAGTTTGATAACTGGAAGAAGATATACTTCCAGTTTTATATGGGTTCATTTAATATTTTATAATAATCAACACATACATATATAGATATTTTAAAGTTAATATATATTTATGTGGGAACGTGTGAACAGTACAGTAGGTCATTATAAAGTAACTTTGACGGACGAATACAACACTGATACTGACAACACGTAAACCCGGACATAAAATTTGAACTAACGAACGAACTGAACAAAAAACGACAGTTACTGCGCGACCACGAACAAACACGGACGTCTATCGTCGATAAGAATTGTGTGTTAAAATATACTTTGAATTTAAATATTGTTTAAAATGAAATGTAAACTTGAATTAATAAAAGCGACTTTTATTTGGCCCTACATTTATAATATTAAAATTTTTTTATTTATATATGTAGAAAATTAATATTTAATAATACTTAAATTATTATGACACATTTAGTTTATTTATTGCTTTTCATTCTTTTGAAATATGCACTACGCGTGTTCACTTTCCGTGCTATCAACTCCACTAACTTTTTGTATTCTGCCACTGTAATTGCGGCGGCCGCGGTAGCCGGGTGGTTAGCATTGCGTACTGCTATTTGAAAGGCTCGAGTTCAAATCCAGGTGTCTTACTAACATCCAAAAAGCTGTAGAAAATAATTTTAAATAAAATATTAAGATAAATTTTCTAATTACGGACGCCCCTGTGCAGGGATTGTCAACCTTTCTGAGTGTTTTTTTTACATGAAATAAAGGGTCCTAATAAAAAAACCATCAGTCTTTCGGAGGCGGCTTAGTATAAACTCCATTAATTGGAAAAATATCAAGGCGCAAAACCACAAATTGGAGGAACGTGTAAGCAGGACATTATGACATTATAAAGTAACTATGACGGACAAATACAATACTGATACTGACAACACATAAACCCTGACTTGAATTGGAATTCACGAGTTGAACAAAAAGGACAGTCAATGCGCAGCCGTGGACAGCGACGGACGCTATTTTAAATGTGTATGTAATAACCTTTGCAATATTCTGAGATCTTTTTCAATAAATGCAGTTCCTCTGTCCGAAATAATTCTTCTCGGATTGCCATACCAATCGATTACCTCTCTAGACAGTTAATAACCGATGCAAAATCAGTTGCCTTTACTGGGTTAAACCAAACAAACTTTGTGAAATCGTCAACAACTACTAATATGTGTTTGTATTTCTTTGTAGTTAATTCCATAGGAGCTACATAATCAATATGAAAAGCTGAGAGAGGTGTATTTTCTTTGTCAATTGGTGAAAGAAAATTATCTATTTTGCTTTCAGTGATAATGTACGACGAACTTCTCTACCTTAGACCGTAAATCGGGAATGAAGAACTCCTTTTCTATACTATCTTGAGTTTTCTATATACGATAGTGTCCTTTTCTGTGAGCTAATCTAATAATTTCTTCCTGCATTGTCTCTATTTAAACCCTACACGAAACATGCTCTTTCGATCTCCTATACCTTTGAGGTTACGCTTTATCTTATAGCACTACCCGCTGCCAGCGCAACCTTGGGTCACTCACTGCACTTCATTTCATTACACCTACACGACAGCCCAATTACGTGTTTCGCTCCCACAATCACGAATGCGAATTACCCCCATTCACACGGCAGGCATTTTGATTTCAAATCTTCTTTTATGATTCTCTTCTCTTTTGTTTTAATTTGTCAGCGGGTTTTGATAAGATAAGAATTAGAGAAGGCACCTATTTGGTCGTATCGTTGAGAACGAATTACCCGCTTTTACTGTAATTCGCACACGAAGATTGAGAGAGCGAAACACGTAATTGGGCTGCCGTGGAAATGCCATATTAAGCGCCTTTCTACACTTTCAACGCATGCGCTTTTCACTTTACTCTTATTTTTGCTGTTATTAAATTTTCACTATTTTCTCTCTATTTTTCACCTTTTCAACTTTTTTTTTGCAATTTTTTCAATATTTTTTGACCTCTTATGGCATTTTGCACAATATTTGGATATTTTCTTAATTTCATGGCTTTTTGTCCTTGATCCAATCATGTATTTAATGATACTTAAGTTTCTAGAGCTTTTGTCCCTTATTTCACTTTCATGTGCCAGTTTCCTAAATTTGTTCAACATTTTTGGATCTTTTTTATCTCTTTTTTTATTTTTACGGAATTTGCAAATTTAGGGTAACAAATGGCAGCACATACAATGCTTCATTCAACAGTTATGTTACAAATATGCCGAATATTGCAATATAGCAGCCATTGCCATAACGAAATAATTTTTAACACTATTTACACATCAGCCGAGAGCAGATCTTAAAAATGTAAAAAATTGAAACTGCAGCCCCAAAAAACTCGATGACTTAAAATAAAATGCTTGACATGTTATATGTATATGATATTTCAAATCTATGTATTTTCATTCACTTATTCGCATTTTGCACATTCATAAATATATTTTTAAATACCGAGGACGCTTTCAAGAAGCGATGAATTCTTACTTTGAGGATAAGTTCACTCTTCAGCAATTGGCTAACATTGCACTTGGGGGTAACCAGTTGACTAACGTCAATACTATAGTTCTTCACAGTTTGCTGGGTCTGGTTCTGAAAAAGTTGGATTGTGAAAATGAAAAGGTTTCTATAAGCGGCTATGAAGCCAAAGAAATGGAAAGAATTTTACAAGAAAGCTCTATATCACCAATCACTTTTGAAGAACAGGAATTCACTACTATTTTGGAAAGATTTGGGCATTTAGATGATATTGAAAATCAACTCAATGAAACGGAGAAGCAACTAAACGAACATTTGATTGGAATTCGTCGTTATTTGAACAAACTTGAAACTATGGATCCATTTTATTTCGATGACGATGACTATTATGAAATATGCGAAGATCTTTGCAGTACACTTGACCCAGATATCAAAACGGCTTGTGAAATTTTGACCAGATCAGCCTTTCTGAAGAACATACTGCTGCATATGTGTCATCCTATTATGAGAGCTTATAACAACATTGAAAAGAAGTTATGTAAGCTTGAAGAGGAAATTTGTAAGTTAATGAAACGACTGGATGCTACATTTGATAATTTTCATCTTGTTGGTGCGGTAGAAGCGGAGTTAAATTGGTGTCGCGTAGAATTTGATACGTTGCATGCTACCTTTCTGAAAACTTTAAATGAGATTCAAGATATTCTCGATTCTAAGGTCAACAAATGCCAAATGTTAGAGATGAAAGAGTACATAAGCGAGCGATTTGAAATTGTTTGGCAAAAACTAAAGAAACTACGCCTTGAAAAAAGTTGCCAGAGAGCTTCCGCTATTGTATCTGAAAAGAAAAAGCCCAAACCTTCGATAATAGCAAAGAGGGCTCCGAAGGTAGCATGCGTCTGTGAAGGTGTGCATATGCAGATTGCTAATGAGCAGAAACTTCTCCAACGGATTAAACGACTGTCTAACCAAAGCATGGATTCTATATTGATAACCCAAGCTCAAAAAACTGATCGACTGTCTGTCTCGAAAAGTTTAAAAATTATGGCATAAGGATCCAACCATTTCATTATTTCGATTCCGCCGCGACAATTTGTGCATTAAAATCAAAAAAGGACTCAATTTAGTAACGAATCTCACTATAGCGCTTTCTAAATTCGTATGTTGAATTTGCCTACTAAATAAAAGTGTGCCACGCTTGTATATTTGTTAATGGATCCAGATTAAAATGTTATATTTCATTTGTATTGTATATGTATGCACTTGCCATGTGCTGAGAATAGTAATTTAGTAATGCAGCCATTTAAAACTAATTTTGGTGTAAGAAATTTAGTTTTGATGTGTCCGTTAATTTAAGTTTGTTTGTATTTCATATCTTCATCTGTACGTATAAGCGGGGAAATCTTAAGAATTGTGGTTTGCGCGAAAGAAGTAGAACAGAGAGTGTGCGTTTTTAAAAGCAAATCAGTTTTAATGATTTAGATAACCCGAATTAAAAGAAAAGCACTACTATTGTATTTGTTCTCCCGCGTCTTCATTTATGAAATCGTCTAGGAACAAGCAATTTTTATTTTTCTTGGAATTGATGTATTCTTTAAATATTTGACATTAATTGTTTTTTTTTAATTTTTTTTTTGTGCTAAAAATTTCATTTAAGCAATTTAAGTTTAATTTATGCCACTTATTTGATTTAATTAAGAAAAATATAGGCAGAGTTTTAATAATTTAGATTTAACACAGGTCAAAAATAGCAGCAAAGTAAAAAAATAATCCATTATTCTGACGTTAGTGATATGTATTTCGCATTATATAAGCGCAATTGGCCAACAGATCTATTCAATGGCCACTTATTCCATATCTAAGAAAAACAGTGAAAACAAGTCGAAATTCCGTTTATGCATTCTTTTTCGATTGGTAATGCAATGTATGATATTTTTCTATTTTCTATGAGTTAAAACTAACCGAAACAATGATTGTTTATTTAAGATTAATGCAACGGATGATATTCTTTTTTTTTGTCAATTTATCAAAGTCTGGCTTCGATTGAACTACTTCGCAACGAGGTTTGGATTCCAAATTTGCGATATAGCTTTCCGGTATGTATTTTTGCGTCGCGCGAGACTTGGGAATGATGCCTCACAAACGTACACGTACGTGGAACCAAACCTGCATAAAATCAATGTCTTTGAGTGTAAAGAAATTACATTCGGATAACAAACGCCTCCACAATGCATCCCCCGTTTCATTTGACAAGCCATCTTCTTCATTTATCTACGAATTATCGAATTTCAAATGAGTTTTCTTTGTTCCAAAAAGATCTAACATTTTTTTAGAAGTCTTAAAATCGTGAATCGAACACGTTAATCAAAGTATCACTATATTATCGTATCGTAACCTAGCTCAAATTCTTCATTATATTGATTTGTGTCTAACACTGGGAAGAAACTGAAATCATTTTCGTTAATTTGGTTTTTAAATGCGACCAATTTCAACTAGAATATTTTTTGCCAAGTCCCAAATGAATTTATTGTTTCCTTGCAGCCTCACATCCAACTCGTTCAAATGTTTCGTAATATCGGCCGAAAAGTACAGTTTTTCTTTCCATGTATGTGTCGATCTTTCACTGAATTCTACATCCAAGTGTTGTTCCATGAGAAATAGTCCGATTTCATCAAACAGATCACAAAACCGATTCAAGACATATCCACAGCTTAGCCAGGGAATGCTTTTGAAGAACATTATGTCACCACATTTCGAATTTAATTTTTCTCTCAACAATTTGAATCGACGATGACGTAGTTCACTCGCTCTGATTGTATTGATGATCTGAAAACAAAAGAAATGGTCAATACAGCTAACTAGTGTTTACTTTATTTATCTTAAATCGTTTTTTGGAAAAAACTAGAATTTGAAAATATTAGTTTTGTTCGTTGACTAGATGGGCAGTAACAATTTTTATCAAACTTTATTGGATCGTGTTCGTTGAGCGGAAAGTATGAAAAACAGCTGAATTGTGATCATATTGTCAACAAATCAAAATAAGTGGTTAAATGTAACGTGGTTTAATTTAACTGAAAGTAAAGGCACTCGTTAAATGAAAATGTTGTGGCAGTGGAGTAGAATCATCGCCCGGACACCACCCAGCTTCCGTTGAGAGATTGGAAGTTAGGAAGGTATGGAATTAGAATATCTTATTATTTTTTGTACAAAGCAAATTGATTTTGGAATCCTTAAATTTACTAAAAAGCTGTGCTGGCCAAATGAGCCGCAAAACATTCCAAAGCAAGGTAGTTGCAGCGATCACAGTTATGGATTCTTAATGAAATATTAGTAGTATTTAGAAGGTAATATAAAGGTCTTGCTTGGTTTTTATTTAAACAGAATCAAATAAATTCAAATACAATTCAAAAATTAAATATGCTATATAATTGCCAATCACTAAACAGAAAACAATAAACCGTACAAATGAGCGGATTCGAATTTAACCGCCAAAATAGACAGCGGTTATACATCTTGCTGGCTAATTTTTACTGAATCAACTAACAATAAATTTCTTTCTTTCGGGGAGTAATACTAGCTGGTTTTTACTGAAATTTCTCAACCAGTAAAAAAATTACGGCAAAAGTGTTGATCACTTCACTAAGTAGTTTGAGCACATGTCAAAGACATGAAAAGCAAAGAGAAAATAAGCTACACAGTTATTTTTTCAATAAAAACGAAAATGCTACACCATCAGCTGAAAATGTGAGTAGTGTTTATGGTCCGGACAGCTGATGGTTTTTTATGACAAGCAGAAGTTATAGACTGAAAAAAATTGATGAAAAACTGAAATTATTTTACATACATTTTTTAATGAACAGAATGAAGTAAGGGTACAATATTTTGTTCATTAGTTACATTAGCATTTATTAATTACATAGCAGCGCTGCTTTTTTCGTCCATGTCAAATTACATTTGCCAGTTGTTAAAGTAAAAAGAAAAATATGCACATCGAAATGGAAGACGGTACACAAAAAAAAAAATAAAAAGTTTTAGTAATTTGTTTATTAAATCATAATTATTTGAACCTAATTATGGAAAATATGCCTGGACAACAAAAAAGAAGCTAAATGAAAACGTTATCTTACAAATTAAAGAACTATTTTTTAGTCTCGGAAACTTTTTAAAATACGGCTTTTTGCCTACCCAATTTGATTTTTTATTTTTTCTCAAACTTTAAACACAAAATCAAACATAAAAAATATTTGTTACCTCCTATTTCGCTGGTAACAAAATTTACAGGGTAACAGTGAACTCAGAATACGAAATGGTAACAAAAATTACTGAATGGTAAATTTTAATACCTAGGTAAATTTTATTACCTCGACAGAATAGGCCTGTAAGTAGAAAAGAAATTAAAGGTTAGCTATTGAAACATAAACATGATATTTTTGAGCTAATAATGCAACGATGGGATGATCGTGTTTCAGTTTGCCTTCTGGTCTTTCTATTTCTTTTATTTTTTCTATTTCTTTTCGGATCATTTCCGTAGTCGCTTTAGTAGATTTTTCTATCAAATCGGGAAGGATAGAACTTTCGTTGTTTAAAACTGTATCATACAAGAAATTATTATATGCATATTTTTTCTAAATTTTAATGATATTTAAACTTTTCAATATGATAAACGCCTTTTCAACGCATTCTTAAAATAGTTTTAAGCCTCTTTTGCTCCTAACTCAGAACGTGACACCATTACAATCTTTCCCGGGGGATATACCGATATCTTGGCAACTGCTTGATAATGGCACCTACCAGAAAATTAAACAAATGGGTCAATGAAATATACTTCCTAATCCACAATGGCTTAAAAAAGAGATTAACAAAAAAGAAACTGGAATATAAAATGCCTAATACTAAAAAAGCATCACCCCAACCCATTAGCTAACGCTTTGAGCAATTCACGGAGAAATACCTGACTGTATCGACGACTACTAATGGGAGCTCGGGACCACTACACATAAAGATGTACAAAGAAAAATGAGCAAACTTTTTTCGAGTGTGTGGTATAAGGTAGTGAATTTGTCCATGGTATACTATGGTTCCGAACTATGGACTGCTTCACTTGCTTATTAATAATCCTCTGCTGTCCTCAAAGAACAAGAACAACTCTCAAAATATTATCTGCAAAGGATCAAGAAAGCTTTAAAAATCAAATTAGAGTATTGGAAAATCTTATACAGCTTCCTATTAGTTAGCTTAAAATACTGCTCCCATATTAAAACCTCACATCTTTTTACTGTTTGTGCATAAATGTGAATAACAAATTGTAAGAAAAGAAGATACATATTTTACTTATATTGTTGTTGTTGAGTGAATAGGAAAATTGCAGAACTAGGGACCGCTCGCATCACTTAAGATTAAGAAACCTAAGTTATCCACTTTTGCTAATTGATAACACATTTTCGCAAAGTTTTCGTTTGACTTGCGAAATTTACCGTCATCTCATAGATGTACTGGACCCGTGCATCCGAAAAGCCTGACGGTGCTGGCGGCTATAAACTTATTTGGGTAGGGCTCATACTATACCAAAGATCAGTAGGCAACAACTTTGACTTGCTCATGAGTCAGTCGTTTCTTTCCTGAAGTTTGCTTGTTGTAAAGATGAAGGAAGGAGAAATAAATTGTCTAAATACGGCGGAAGAAGAAATTAATGTAAAACAGGGTATGTTAATGCAAAGAAAAAAAAACGGTTATTGCTGTTGTTGCCCCTTCATCAAATAATATTGAACGTCCTCTTAATTTGGGGTGTAATAGGGTGTAGTCAAGTTTCTGGGTAAGCTTTTACTGTTACGAGGCTATACAATACTCAATTCCTACTCATGGCTCCACGTCGCGCACCCTGGAAACGTGAGCAGTCCTTGTGCAAGATGCGGTAACCAACCCGTGTGGAGCCTCGAGTCACGGCTAATGAGAGAGGAAGCTTCAGTGGGGCCACTCCGACTTATTCGGTTTAAGGGTCAGCTGAAGTCTGAATGCAGCGTCTGTTCACGAGAGGTGCGGCTGCGAGCGGGCGTCGGTTTTGAAGTAAGCGGCTCGCTATATAAATGCAAAAAAAAAACTTTAAACTTACTCGCCTTGCGAGGTTGTGCACTTGGTAGAAACCAGCTCCAATGAAAAATGCCTCGGATGAGATACCCCCTTTCTGTTGACGACCTCCGCAAATGAATTAAGGATCTCGATTTGGGAGAATGCACCTGGAATATCCGGTGCCCAGCTGGTTGATGTCCTCGTAAGAATAAAGGCTGACATCACCGCCATCCCAGAAGTGCGTTAGACGGGACAAGGACGAAAGCAAGGCATCTACTAAAGCATCCATATAAAGGAGCGCAAAATTGGTGTCGGATTTGTGGTGGGAGAGAGACTCCGTCGTCGAGTACTGGCATTCACCCCGATGGATGAGCGTCTCACCACAATCCACATCAAAGCGAAATTTTTTAACATATCGCTGATTTGCGCCCACGCCCCGACGGAAGAGAAGGACAATTTGGCCAAAGATGCCTTTTATGAGCGCCTAGAGCATATTTACGAGCGCTGCCCCCGACACGACGTGAAAATCGTGCTTGGCGACTTTAATGCCAGGGTGGGTAAAGAACGTGTCTTTGGTACAACTGTTGGACAATTCAGCCTTCACAACAAATCATCCCCTAATGGATTGATTCCGATCGACTTCATCATGGCCCGAAATCTGGTTGCCTGTAGTACTAGATCCCAGCAAAAAAAAATACATCAAGCTACTTGGCTGTCATCGGATCGTAAAACACAAAACCATATCGATCATGTTGTGATAGACGGAAGACATGTCTNTGTGAAAGTTTTGCTGACAGTTTTCTTCGATTGCAGGGGCGGGGTGCATCATGAGTTCTTGCCACAGGGTAGAACGGTCAATAAGGAATATTACCTGCAAGTATGCGCAATTTGCGCGAATCAATCCGCCAGAAACGCTCGGATTTGTGGAAGAACAAAAATTGGCTTTTGCACCACGATAGCGCCCCTGCTCACACATCGTTGCTTGTGCGCGACTTTTTGGCCAAAAGCAACACACTAATGATGTCGCAGCCACCGTATTCCCCAGATGTGGCCCCCTGGTACTTTTTCTTGTTCCCTAAACTGAAGAGGCCCATGAAAGGACGACGTTACGCAACGATTGACGAGATAAAGACGGCACCGAAGGAGGAGCTGAACAAGATAAAAGAAATGATTTTTTGAAGTGCTTCGAAGATTGGAAAAGCCGTTGGTACAAGTTTATAATATCTCTTGGGGATTACTTTGAAGCGGACAAAATAGATATTCATGAATAAATAAATAATTTTTGAAAAAACATAAAATTCGCGATATTTTTTGAACACACCTCGTACTAGTGTTTACTCACTGAATGTTGTGCTAACAGTTTTCTAAATATGTTTCAAGCGTTTTTTAATTAGTTATTTATTGAAACAATCATATACTTAACTCATGCGGTTTGTTAGCGATATCGTTAATTTAAAAGGAGGAGTGCGACTGATTAGCGCACAAAAAAAAAGAGGGAAATGGATTGCGTGAGTTTGAAAAGTTAATGTTTTCAAATTCTATGAAAGCGGATCATACGGATGTAGAAACCACAAAGACAATTTGGTGATACACACCAAGATTTGGTGATACACACCAAGATTTCTTCGGTTTTAAAGCTCCCTTCGTCAGCACAAAAAGTGCATAAATAAATAAGCTTACTTTGACGCTTTCATATTACCTTTTTTAGTGCAGACCTTGATCTCGACAAGAGACATTAAAGTTGGTTCTTTCCAAGGGTTTAAAAGAGTAGACTGATCCAATTTCAATGTTCGACACAAAAACGGAAGGAGTAACTTCTTAGAAGGTCAATACCCAATGACAAACTTCGCGTTTCATACGAAGGTGTCAGTTGGTTAAGTACAACTTTGAAATGTAGGTGTGTGAAAACTTTTAAATTACTGAATAAATGTTGATGTCATTAGTATAGAGAATAATCTTAGAAGTAAGGAAACAGGAGCTGATGTAATTCAATTGAGAAACGCTCGGTGCTAATAAAGTTAGAATGAGACATTTTAAAAATCAACCGCAAAGAGTCTTTTAGATGAGAAAGAAATTGGAGTGAAAGCCCTAAAAAGATATTTTGGAAAGTAGAACTTTGAATCAGGCGCTATCAAAAGCTTTTGAAATGTCTATATAAATTGCATCAATATTGCACACAAAAATGCTGCAAAAGCAGATGAGACTCAAATGAGATTCGGTTTCCCTGCCTCTTTTTTATTTTTCAATTTACATTGCGCTCATTTGCCGCTGAATGCTTGGTATTAGCGCCTGGGCATGGCAACTATTCAAACAAGAGTCTACGAATTTTATACGGGCTATGAAAATTTGTCATGAAGAATTAATCTTTTTTTGTTACCACATTTCCAATCATTATTTCTGTAAATGCACTCATTTATGTATATAGTGTAGAAAAAAATTTCAATGCCGAGTACTAAATATAAATGAACAAAAGGCAAAGGTGCAAAACCGCGTACACGTGTGTGCAACTTATTTTGTGAATTAATATTTGTATTTTGCGAGTTTAGAGCATAGTTACTAAAAAATAAAATAATATTAATTTACTCAAACTAGGGCGGTTTTGCTACAGAAATACTACGTTTTTGGTAGGTTTCGGATAAAGTTGCTTACTCTCATTTCTCCTTCCATCATCCCTAAGTTAAATTTAATGCCCCCTCATGTAGAAAAGTTCAAAGCTGCATACATACATATCATATAATACACAATTTGAACAATGTAATCTTATTAGCTGGCAAAAAGTATGATAATATAAAGACGATCGGATTCATTTACCTTTCATAAATACATATTTAATAATATGAAGAAAGACACTGCACAAAATTTATATAAATTTATTCATGACTTAGCTGCTGTTTAAAAAAAAGTAGTAACGAAACAAAATCACTTATTTCGACGGTCGATTTATATGTTATAATCATCGTTTCTTTAACATGTCAAATTTAGTTTCTTCATTTCTATTGTAATATTTGTATGCATATGTAAGCCAGATCTTTGAAGTTTTATAGAAGCATCTGCAACGCGATCGCTCTATAGGTTACACTTGTTGTATTAATGAATGAATTATGAAATAGAGATTATGATTTAGGGCCTTAAGTGATCCGCGGTTATCGTGGCTGTCCTGAAGAATTCTTATAAATTCTATTAGTTTATTACATCCCTTCAGTAAATTACAGATATTCCCATACCCGAATTTCCTTTATTTGTTAACCCTTGTGATAAAGATTACCATCGATTCCTTCAAATAAGCGAAAGTCCTCAAGGCAGACAACTTCACAATTTTTTATTAAAACAGTGGAAGAGAGCCCTTTGGGTTCTGTCTGACGTTTTGAAATTGGATGGGAAATAATATCCGGGTTCAAAACTTTCTTTCCAAAAACTCTGTTTAGTTTGAGATCACCTTTCGAACATTTACATGTTCTGGGCATACGGATAGCTCGAGCCGTATGTGCATCTGGCAGCAAACTCACCGTATGTACTCCTTTCTCAGCGCACACCTGGTGTTCGCCACACGATAAACATCGCAAACCACTACTTATTATACCTGGGGGTTTCGGACAATCGACCTTATTCTGTATGACTGCTATGCGAGCTTCAATACGGTTCAAGTTAATCGTTATATATCGTTTCAATGCAGGAATTTGTAGTTTGTCTAATTTAAAATCTAAGATGTCCTGCACTTCCTCCATGGTGCCTAGAAATTTCAAGTTATGTTGGTCAATCTTTTCCTTTAGGTCTTCAACAGCTTGGAGGCACCCTTCAACCAAAGCTAATTTCTCCAAGTTAGCCACGGCATGCAAAATCAGATCGTTCATGTCTTCGTTGAGACATTTTATTTCTTCCTCAAATTCGAAAAAGCTCAAAATCATTGGTTCAGCAATACGCCGCTGAAGTTTTTTGAGAAAATCAATATTACTAACCATAAAACAAGCCAAATTAAGCTCTTTTCCGCACGGCGCGCAAGTACTCTCTGAATGTACTTTATACTTTTCCCAATCCTTTAAATCGTACTTCATTTGTGACAGGTGACTGAATTTTCTTGCTGTTTGTATATGATTCTCAAGTTTTGATTTTACTTCTTCAACCGATTTTTCCAGTTTCGTAACGGCCTTTAACTTATGCGCAATAATAATCAAATGCGCATCGTCGACAGTTAATTGGGCCGGCTTGGACTCTTTCAATAATTTAACGAGACAATCAGATTCTATGCCCTTAAGCGAAACAACATCATTTTGACAATCAAGCTTTTTGAGAATCAATTCAATAAGAATATGAAGAGCATGTATACTCGCACTGGTTAATTCTGGTGCACCTAGTGCGATCTTGGCCATTTCTTCCAACGTGAATTGCACTTTCGGTGACATATCCGGTCAATATCAATGCTTTGACAGAGCAATATTTTGTATTTCGACTTACTGAGAACGAACTTAATTTTATATTTCAATTAAACAGCGCAAGGCAATCATCAAATAAAATTTAAACAGGTAGAAACCTGATGTCGAAACAACAAAGACTCAAATTTTTCGAATAGTAATGATCATTCGTCAAGGCATGATACAAAAAACTAGTTTCACTCAATCTAAAATTTACACTGAAAGATTTTTAGACAGTATTCATATTCATATCTTATTATCACTTTAAATTTAAGATATTACCAATTTAAAAATATTTCATTAAAAATTTAAAAATTTTTTTTTCATAAAAAATGTTAAGTTGTCTGAAAATAATTTAACACTGAATACCCACTGCTCTCCCAAGGGGCCAACTGTTAGGACCAATTATGAACCAACATTCACAGGAGCTTACGGCTAAGTAGGAAGTGCTCCGAAGCGACGCATCCCTTTATTTAATTTCAAAATTTCCGATTTCAAATGTATAAGCGCATCATCTTTTACTAAGGCAGCGTCATGATAAAAAAAAGAAAAATATTATAGTTTTACTCAAAACAAAATTTAGGCAAAATGTTTACTGTCGTTATATCTTATTTATCATACATTGTAACGTCAAAATATTACCAGAAAATAATTTTATTTCTGTTATATATTTCATAAAATGCAATGCATAGATTTTAAGTTAGTAAGTTAGTAAGTTTTACATTTCTTTTCATTGAAATGTTTTGGATTTTTTGTACTTTTTTAATGAAATTGTCTTAAAATGAAAAATAAAACAGAAGTCAAAACATCTTTTTATGTCAAAAAGTTAAAATACATATTTAAAAAAAAAATTTGAATGATTACCTGGATGTTTGATGCATACGCTGTCCATGCATGATAAAAAAAGGTAGTTTCACTCAATATAAAATTGAGAGAAAAGAATAGATGGTTTTGCATTTTTTGTAATAAATTTTTATAGTCTTAGAAAGTTGAATTTTTTTAATTAAACTCGTAGCACAAAAATAAAGCAAAATTCTAAAAATCTTTTTATGTCAAATGGTTAATTTTTTTTTTTTTTGGAAATTCTGAGTGAAACTACCTTGTTTTTTTATCTTGGTATAAATATTTATAGACATATGTACACACATATATACATATGTAAGTATTTTTTATGTATGTATATTTACAAGGTGAACTTATAGAAGGTGAAGTTGTCGCATCCAAGGCGAATTCATAAAGGTGAGAGCAGGAGAACAAACACAACAATTACCGTGTAATTTGTTTCTGTTTTCAGTGTAACCATTGTCTGATTCATGACAAATTCATACAATTTGCTTTTGTCAAATTGAATTAAAATTTCAAAAGAAGTAAAAGATGAAAAAGCAAAAATTAAAATTGATGTCTTCAGATTAAAATCAAAGTTTGCTTATTCAAATGACATTAGCAGTAAAGCAGCTTTATTTTATGGGATGTAAGGGAATTCTTGAAGAACATGTATTCGGCAGGGAATGTCGTAAGCAATGGCAAAGATCGTTTACTTCTTTGGCAATGGCTATAAGACTGAGTCACATTGCACGAAATATGCATAGGAGAAAGTTCTATAATTGCTATGGCCTTAAGTTCCTGTAACGCTGTGCAGTCAGTTGTACATTATATAATTTATTATAATTATTATTTATTCAATGTTAACATCGGTAATATATGTTAATTTAACCACAATAAAAACGTAATTTTCTTTTCAATAAAGGTTTAATATCACCTTTTTCTAAATTTCTCTGGCAAGCACGAATCCAGATATGCAGACCTTTTATTTTGTGGAACTTGGAATCGAACTCCCCTTTCTACATCAACTCAAATCAAATCAAAATCGGAACATATTCTTTTATTGGGAAAAAGTCAAAAAACTTGTTCCAAAATTTTCGACTCAACAATTAAGAATTGAAAAAAAAAATAACAAAAACTCAAAATGTAAACAAACATACAAAACATAAACAAACATTTTGACTACCTTTACACTGAAGGGAATTAATTAAATGAAAAAAGTTGAGTTTACTGCCCTAGTAACTCCACCTTCTGTAAATTCGCCTTGATATGATTGCGTGTTCTTCATTCCATTTTAAAAAATTACACAAATGAAATACATGAGAAATAGGATTTGATATTTCAAACGTTCGTTTACACAAACATAGGCTTTTTGTTTTTTTAGAAGGTGAAGTTGTCACATCATATCATTGTTTGTTCTTCTTTCCATTTCCACAAATTACACAAACAAAATACATTGCACGAATTTCGTTTTGGACGTTCGAAACTTCAAAACAAAATACACAGGAATTTTTTTGTATTCTTGCTACTACCGTGTGTGAATTTGCATTGATATATTTATTTAGTAATTTAATTTCTGCGAACATTTACATGTTTTATATATAATATATTAATTTAAAACGTTGTGTCACCATGAGCACCACGCATATTGAAGTTACGTTGAAGGAAATGTTGCAAATGTCATTGGGAGCACCAAAAATCACTGACATCAATCTTTCGATTTTGCATAGCCTTTTCAACATACTCCTTAAGAAGCTTGATTGTCAATATGAAAAAGTGACAGTATATGGATTGGAAGGAGCTTGCATAAAATCGATTTTGGATAATAGCAGAATATCGCCTCTCCCTTTTAATACTGATAAAACCGAACTACTTTCAACTAAACTGGAAAAGCTAGAAATTTTGGAAGAGCATTATAAAAGAGTTGCACATCAGTTGGAAGAACATTTTGAAGAAATACGTATATGCAATAAAAAAAACTCTGCGAAATATTCTGTAGTGGATTGGTCAAAGTACAGCGGTCCGTGTGAATGGTTTTGTACTACGGCCGAACCTGCGAGTCAACCGTTCTGTGACCTTTTAGAAAACTATGACTTTATCATGAGTGTCAAGCGAATAGTCGAGGAGCCCATCGTTGGTAAGATTTTGGACATGAGAAAGCGTCTAGAAAACTTACATGTGGAAATGTTAGATTATCAACGTCGGTTAGCAGATACTTGTGAGCGCCTGGCATACATTGAAAAAGTAGCAGATGAAATCAGCAACTTTAGTCAATATCTTGCAATGGAGCAAAATTCTTTTACACAAGCCATGGTAGAGCTGCAGGACATGATTGACGGGAAGATGCATAAAATAGTTTTACCCTCACTCAAAAAGTACATACAAACTGAAACTGGAAAAATTATCGAAATTTGCGAGAAACTAAAACAGAAGGAAATTTGCGATATAACCGAAAAATTCTCGGGATCTTCCGAAACTTGTCTGTCATGCAAAGGCGTTTTAATCAGAACATCAGGAACTGCATTTTTAGTGCCTAATGATAATGTTCGAGAAGACGAATCGAAGAGGCGAAAAATTGCTAAAAATTGTAATCGAAATGGCCCATGTTTAAAAAAACAGAAAGAAGTAGAATTATTGGAAAGACTTGTTAATAGAAATAAAACAAATGAAGAAACAAAAATCAGCAGGGAAATTAGAAAATCATGCAAAATCATTTCTGACCGTTTTGATGTAGTAAAAGGTACTAACGGCGTCTACTACCGAAAGGCCTAACAATCACTATTTAAAATCAAGACTTGTGCAAATCTACCAGTAATTTATAAATTTTTGAAATGTATATTACAGAAATGCCATCTTACACGGTAAAATATATTCCTCGGTTGTGAGTGAGATAATAAGTTCATTTGCAGCCAAATAATTCATCTTAGTAATATAACAAGTGAATATTTGCTTGTCCTGACCAAGGCTAAAACTATTTTTATTATTGAGTGTATTTCTGTAGTTACCTCATACATACACAAACTGAAAGAGGAGCTCGGGCGAAAATAGCTTTAGGAGCAATTATACATACATATATATCGAATATAGAGTTGTATAAATGCATACACCCTTTCCTTTGAACAGACCTCGTACATATCATATAAGAGTTAGTCAATAACCAATTTGAAACAAAAATTAATACAGTCTTGAACTGCCATGCCAACAAGATAATTACTAAAACTTTGGTAAATATACGAATAATCGCAATACTACAGCTAATCGATTTAGGTATGCAATTTGGCTAACAATTTGATTAGACATGTTTGTTTGTGCATAGTAGAACTAATGTGGTACGAGCGATAAATGTGCGTCATTTTTTTCTACAATTGGTCCTTTAAATACAGATTTCTGTGAGGTGTTCGCGGTCGATCCATTGACTCTAAGCAAGAAATGCATTGCTTTTTTTTATTATCTTCTTTTTGTTTCTTGGCGTTTTTAAGCACAGCTTGCAATTTTTTCCACTCCTTTTCTAACCTCTTGAATTCGTCTTGTATATTTCGCTTTAAAAATGTCAACTCAGTTTTTTCCAACTTTGCTAACATCATTTCAAATATTTCATTTTTGGTAATTTCGTATATGGCTCTTTCATTTTCGAAATCCCTGCGCAACTTTTCAGCGATGATGGAATGCTTATATTTCTCATTTATCTCAATAAGCTTCGTATTTATGAGTTTTTTTAAATCAGTGAACTTCTCTTGAAGACACTTAATTTTTTTTCGCTTAATATCCATTTCGGCAAGTAACGGAGATATGCCCATGTTAATTAAATGCAACACGAAATGCTGATTTGTAAGTAACTTGCAAGGAAATAAGTCCTGAGGCTCTGGAGTCATGCAGATCTTCTCGCAAGCTTGTGCGTACTTGTCAAAATTACTGGAGCTGTAATGGTCGTTTGGTACATCTTCCATGGCCCATATTCCTTTCAGGTGTTGAGATAATTTATTTTCCAAAATATCAACACGCCTCGTTAGGCTTCTTACTTTCGACAAATTTTCTTCAAATTTAACAATCCCTGCAGACTCAAAATGATAAGGCGATTTGCGGCTTTCTTTGAGTATTTTATCCAGGCAGAATCCTACTTCTCCAGCAATTTAAATTTTCTCGGTCCTCGAATCCAGTTTTTCTAATATTATGTCAAAGAAACTGTGTAGCAAGGACAAATTTACATTTGAAATTTTCGGACATCCTAGGGCTATCTGCAAAAGCTCCTTTAAAGTTAACTCAATATACATTAATGTAATTTTTAAGTTTAGAATGAATTATGATATTATTGTATTTTTTTGAATTAAATAATTGGTACAGTTTTAAATTTAATGACAAAAGTAAAGCGAGCTCATACAAGGCGAATTAACAATAATAAAGAAAAATTGCTACGGAGGCGAATTTAAATTGGTATAAGTGCAAAACAATAGTGAAAGTTGTTAGGAATATAAAAGTGATTCCAAGGGTATTTAACATTTCATGTGCGGCTGGGCCTTCCTTTATGGTTCCAATGCTTGTTTCACCAAACTAATTGACCAATCATAATGAAATTTGTAGGAGTTGTTGCTGTTGATATAATATATGTTTATTTATTATAATTAACACATAAATGTTTATAAATTATAAATCATTTGTTGTTAATAAACTTACACTTTCAACACAAATTTTTACTTAGCACGTGCACTTACTTAACATACATGTTGCAAAATACTAACTTTAATCTGTTTACATGCGATTGGTTAGCAGTAAAATATTATTTTATTTTTGTATATTACTTCGATATTATTGGCAAGGGAAATAAATTACTTAACGTATCAAATATCAATTACCATCCACTTAGGCAATACAGATGTTACTTTACTTTTGTTCTAGTGTCTCGTACAAATTGGTAGATGAAATATTATCGAGTGCAACCCATTTGTTACCTAAAATCATTGCTTACTAGAAAGCAAAAAATACAAAAATCAAAAAATTAATCAAAAATAGTACAAAAATTAAATACATTAGTAGCTAGCATATCAATACAATTCAGAGGTGTTCAGCTTGGGTAACAATATCACTTTGTTTTGTTAAGATGAAAAATAAACATAGCAAAATGATTTTGTTTCACTTCGGCGCCATGTTATCGAAACGAAAAGAAATCGTTGCCTATGAGACCGCACAAATTCAACGCCAACGTTAATTTTAAAATGGCTGCTCGCTGTTTTGTTAACAGGTCACTAAAATTTCGATGTTTAACATTAGCAGAGTTCATTGAGGAATGTCAGTAAAATTTAGCCATCAAATAAACCGAGAGAGTAAAATGTTTTACTCTCCCATAGAAAGAAATTTACTGAGTTTTCACATTTTATTTAATCTGCTTTTAAGTATATGAATAAAATTGGTAATTATATAGCATTTTTACATCATTGATTTCATCAAAATTTTTGGATTTCAACAAGGATGGAATTCTACAAGCTCTAAGACGTCGAACGAAAGAGATGCCTAAATGTTTATTCTAATAGCCCTCTAAAAGGTCGAAGATTAATGTAAAGTTTGCTTTATAACATTTTGTCACTCAGTAGTGCAATTCCGTAACTTTTTTCGACTCGAATTGTCGGATCTCAGACTTTCGAATTTTGTCGCTTGTGCTAACGATAATCGACTACACCTCAAAATGTGCGAGAAGCACAAAGAGGAATGACAAACAAAAATAAATTGGTAATAGCAATTATGGTTATTTTTTTTTTTTGACTTTTATACCTGATTTTTGCTTTGTAGAGGATATCCAAATGAAATAATATTACCTCGTTCTAGGGTACTTAGCATTTGCAGTCAAAATCTCGTGATAAGGATCACATGATGAACTTTGTTACTACAATAGTAATTGAAAAAAATTTACTTTCACCATTTGCAATTTGGTAGAATGGTATCCATGAAGGATAAAATAGGCTTCTTTATGATTTTTGGGAATCGTGATGGGCACGTGAATGCAATGAAGACGATGATGAGTCCAAAAATTACTTTGTGCGGATAGCACCCTATTTGCGTAATGGGAAATCCAACGCTCCCAGGAAACATTGAGTGGTTGATTGCTTCTGTCATGCGATGAATATAACGGCTTACTGACGACTGACACATATATATTCTCAATTGCTCTCCGACGGGACGTTGGTGGCATTCAGTTGCAAAGAATGGCAAGGCGGTTAGTACCATTAAACATTTTAATAACATTAAAACTGAAAATAAATATTTCAAAGTTATGTTTTTACCTGTTTTTCTGTAGATAATGCTGTTATTCTTCGACATTAAGTTAGCTATAAAGAAACGCAGTTGCATTCAAGTGGAAACGGTCTTCAGCTCCCCGAAGCAAACTTCTATCCCATGATGAAAGGTACAATACCTCCTTATCTTGGGATAAAACGTATGCCAAATACTCAAAAGCCATTTTTTTTTATTATATTATTTTCCTTTTTGATTTTTATGCAACTTAGGCAATTTTCCGATTTATTTTACTTTATTTTAATCTTAATGAAATAACAATATTTTGTCGATATAGGTAATAACTTAAAAACATTAGTGCTTAGTTAGCGATTTCTCGAGTAATTTACAATAACAGCTATGGCGAGCATCGTTAAAATAAGTGCACCGAATATTAAAATCGTTAGAATTATGGCTAAGTCTTATTTGCGATCCAAAATTGTTTATAGTACGATAGAGAATTTCTCTATAGATTTTTCATTTGAAAGGAAATTATAATACGAAAATGAGTTGGGATTTATTTTGCCGTGTAAGTCGGCATTATAGAATTTCTTTGGTGCCGTTCAAATAAAATCCAAACAAAAGCTTTATTTTCCATTTTAAAAGTGGCTTACATTTTATTTTATGCATCGTCGAAGCTTTCAGGAGTTTAAGAATGCATTATCGTCAATGTGACTGGTCGACATTGCTTTCTAGTAAAATCAATTTGCGTTACATAAAAAATAAATATATTATATATTTTAATTCTATGCTTTCAACATTCTTAAATTCCTTTCATCAATGTGGGCTAGACGGTAAGCGGGTCACTGCCACCACATTCTCATTTAATGAGTACCATAAATTTAATTTAATAAAATTATACGTGTATATGCGCTCTTATTTTGTTAGTATTTCATTCATATTAAAGCAAAAAATTCAATGATTTGATTACAAATCAACTGTTTTTCGTACTTCCTAGTTTTTACTGGCTGAAATATACCCAGCACAAATTTGCAACTTTCTCTCCAAAAAAAATTCAAAATGTCGCTCTTTCGTTGCTATTTTTACTAAACCTTTTGGCTTAACGAACTTGATTGTTACTGCCCATTTAGTCCCCGAACAGACCTATGGGGTTTCTCAATAACAGTGATATGATTCCTTAAAAAACGATTTGAGGGCATGCACCTGGAATGTCCGGTCCCTTATTTGGAAAGGTGCCGCGGCCCAGCTGGTTGATGTCCTCGTAAGAATAAAGGCTAGCATCACCGCCATCCAAGAAGTGCAATGGACGGGACGAGGACGAAAGTGAGTAAGTTTTTGTGACATTTACTACATCGGCCATATAAAGGAGCAAAAAATTGGTGTTGGATTTGTCGTGGAATAGAGACTCCGTCGTCGAGTACTGGCATTCGCCCCGGTGGATGAGCGTCTCAACACAATCCGTATCAAAGCGAAATTTTTCAACATATCGCTGATTGGCGCCCACGCCCCGACGGAAGAGACAGACGATTTGGCCAAAGATGCCTTTTATGAACGCCTAGAGCATACTTACGTATCTTTGGTATATCCCCTAATGGGTTGATTCTGATCGACTTCGTCGGGACCCGAAATAGGGTTGTTTGTAAAACTAAACCCCAGCAAAAAAAAATACATCAAGCTACT